CTCTGGAAACATAGATGGCCACTGCATTAAGATCAGAGTTGAGCCTTTCTTTTACACTTTTCTTCACTTTTTTAAATTAATTTTTTTCAATCAATGAAAATCTGCCTTCTCTCCCTCCTATTCTCTCCATTAAGACAGAAAAACAAAACCATTGTTGTAAACATGTATAGTCAAATAAAGCAAATTCCTACATTGGACATGTCCAGAAAAATTCCTCAATCTATGCTTTGAGTCCATCAGTTCTCTGTCAGGAAGCAGGTAGCATGTTTTTTTCATGAATACTCTGAAACTGCAGTTGATCATTGCATGATTAGAGTTCTTAAGTCTTTCCAAATTGTTTGTCTTTACAATATAGTTAGTGTAGAAATTGTTCTGGTTCTGCTCACTTCATTCGACATCAGTTCACACTACCCCAGAATTCTCTGAAGTCATCGATTTCATCATTTCTTCTTGTTGTTATTGCTGCTGTGTGTCCTTTGCTCTTGAAGAGGACCATGACATCAGGGAAGTGATGCCATGACATGCAAGTGAATTGGATTTAAGTGAGGAAGGGCTGGGCAAAGTCACCAGCATCGCTCTCTCCTCCAGAGCCATCTGGGTTCCAGTGGTCAGATATAGATCAGGACAACTGGAGATGGCCCAGGATGAAGTGGGGGACCTTGGCCTTTTCAAGCTAAGGTCTTAACAAGTGTCAGTTTGACTGAGGCAATGGCCATTCAGTGATTAAGGCCAATCAATAAAAGCCAGAGTGATTTGGGGTTCAGGCTGGTTTTTAAGAAAAAAGATCATTTGTCAATATTAACTTAACATTTGCTACACTAAATAAGAGCAATTCCCCCCCCCCAATGACCATTAAATTGACATTATTGGAAGAGCTGAATCACATTAATATTGACATTCTCATGAAAGGCAGATCAGTACCATGTTGGGTGGGCTGGATTTGAAATCAGAGGACATGGCTTCAGATCTTGAGTCTGCTACTTACTCACTAATAAAACATAAACAACTCTATTTGACTTTTAAAGCCTTTCGTATGGTACAATAATATCCTATTACATCCATATGCCACAATTTGCTCAGCTGCTCCCTAATTGTATGATGCCTCTTAAGGCAGCTCCTTAGATTTTTACAATCCATTCTCCACAAAGCTGTCAAAATAATCTTTCTAGGGCCTGAAAATGTCAGTCTTCTTCTCAAAAATGTTCAGTGACACTCTGCTAGACCTCAGATAAAATGCAAACTCCTCAGTGTAGTATTTAAAGTCTTTCACAATCAAGTTCTAACCTCTCTTGTCAGATATTTGTTCTCTTTTATGAATTCTATGTTCAGAAAAAAACTGAACATTCCGTTTTCTATTTCTGTGCCACCGAATAGGCTGTTCCTCACTGCCCAGAGTGCACTCCCTCTTCACCTCTGCCTCAGCGAATACTTGGCTCTGATCAAGATTCAATTCAGGTGCCACCTCTCCTGGGAAACTTCTTTTAATCTTCCCCCCTCTACTACCTCCCTCCTTCCTTCCCCAGTTACTAGTGAACAATTCTCCATAAGTAAGCTGGTATTTACCTATTGTATACATCATTTTGTCCCCCATTAAAAAGTAATCTCTTTAAAATCAGGGATCATTTTCTTTCTTTCTTTCTTGGTATTGAAAGCATTTAGTATAGTGCCTTGAACATAGTGGATGCTTACCAAATATTTTTAGAATTAAATTGAATTGAGTAGAATTAGTACATAGTCTTCCACTGGCCTCTCCCCAGACATCATTACTGCTTAATTGAATCTGCTCTTGCTTTTGCCTTGAGCAGCATAACCTTTATAAACCTAGGGATCACCTCCACATCACAATTAGGTATAGAGTTAGACTTTTGTGGAAGGTCTTACAAATAAGTATACAATAAGCTTTTGATTTATTGGTCTATTTTCCCTTCAATATCATGATAAATGGAACCAGTATTCCTCAGAAAGGAAGAGTAACAATCACAGAATAGTTACGTGCAAGCCTGCTAGAATTATTTTAAAGAAACTCTAGGTAGCTCTTTCCAGTCAGCAAACATTTATTAAGCTCTTACTATGTTCCAAGCACTGTTCTAAGTGCTGGGAATATAAATGCAAGAGAAAAAGAAAGACAGCCCCTGCCCTCAGAATTTAATCTCATGAGGAAAACAACATATAAAAGGAAGCTGAAAGGTGGGGGAGGTGGAAGGAGGAGAGAAGGTACACAGCCCAGGAGCATTGATGGAGAAATCCAGAGAGTGTAGTCTAGTGGGAATGAAGAAATAACCAGCCCTCCAATCAGAGGGAGGGGATGGGGGCAGAAGGTCCTTAGGAGTTGGGACTTTGTGAGTTCTAAGGATGAAGTTACCTTTCAAGAGGAAGAACTTTCTGAGGCATGATGAAGACACGTGGGGAGTGCAGTCTTGGGGGAAATTTCAATCTAGATCTGCTAGGATGGATGCTAATGATGGCTTTCCTTCGATTTGTGGGCACTAACTTTCTCACACAACTCTAAAACTTTTCCAAATAACTCCATTTTTTCTGTTTCACTCAGAGTTGAGCAAATAAGTGGTGGCAGTGGATAAAATGCTATACTTGGAGGGAGGAAAACCTGAATTAGAATCCTGCCTCAAGACATTTACCCTTAGGCAAGCCACATAACTGCTCTCATTCTCAGTTTCTTTATCTGTAAAATGAGGATAATAATAATAATAGCACCAACTTCATAGGGCTATTGTGAAGATCAAATGAGATAAGATATGTAAAGCACTTTGCAAACTTTAACATGCTATGTAAGGCAACAAACTTACATGTATAAATACTCGCTATTATCATTACTATTATGACACTGTAGTGGGGCTTTGAGAAGAGTGCTAAGGTCCTGTCAGTTTTGCTTTATTTTTGGACAGGCTGAGAAACTTCCTCCTTCCCTGTGAAGTTGTTTTCCAGTTCCTCCTTGGCTTTATATTTGCTCAAGTTTGTTCCCTCTCCAGCTTACTATTCCTGCTTAAGGGCTGGGGCCTGGGGAACTGAGCCTTACCTTCATTTCCTGTGCCCCTCACAGGAAGTGATCAGTAGAAACTCTTAGGTTAGTCCTTGAGGGAAATAAAAATTCTACCATAGGCAAGGGGCTCTCTCATGTCCCTAACTATATGTATGTAGGCAATTAAATGCAGTACATAGAGGAGCATCAGAGTTCAACTTTGTCTTCATTTGGAAATGGTTTAGTTGGAGATGCTTCTTTTCTATCCCCAGTTAGTGACTCCAAGCCAGGCCATTCTCAGCCTAGCTCCTAGTTTCTCTGGGAAGTCTGTATTCTCATTTTAGCTCCATCCTACTTTTGTCCTCCAATCTAGGTTGAGCTTTCTCACTTAGCACCACCTCCCCCCAAAACACACAAACATGTCCCCAATATCTACTCTCAATGCAGGCTGAGCAACATGACATTCTTGTCTGAGCTTCATTCCTCTAAGTGATGGGTTTTTTCTACTCTTTGTCTGCTTCTTCTCTGTTATTTCTTGGGATCCTGGAAACATCCAATCTTCTGGGAGAAGCGACATTGATTACCTGTCACCTATTTTTGGTCCTAACCTCTGATTTCACCAATTTGAGGACCACCCAACCAAACTTGTTATTGTTGTTCAGTCATTTCAGTCTTGTTCAGCTCTTTGTGACCCCATTTTGAAGGTCGTGGTGGGGAGTTTCTTGGCAAAGATACTGGAGTGGTTTGCCATTTCCCTTTCCAGATCATTTTACAGATGAGGAAACAGAGACAAACAGGGGTAAGTGACTTACCCAAGGTCACACAGCTAGTAAGTGTCTGAAGCTGGATTTGAACTCCTGAAGATGAATCTCCCTGATTCCAAGCCCAGTGCTCTATCCATTTCACCACCTAGCAGCCCAACAAAGCTTAGGTTACATAAGAAATTGCCTCCAGCAATGCAGATCATCAATTTATCTCTGATTTACAATATAAGAGAGTCACTTGGAGCACTAAAAGATCAAGGCATCTGCCCCTAGTCTCACTCACAGCCAGTTTCAGTCAGAGGTAAGACATGGACCCAGTTCTTTCTGACTGCAAGGCCAGCCTTCTAACACTATTGCCACACTTGACAATTAGTTCTAGTTATTAACACAGGTGAACAAGGCTTCAACATAGAAACAGAGAAGCAATGACCATACCAGGCATTCCACACATAAGTACATTGTGGATGGTTGCAAGTGGGTGGAAGAGAGAGGAAATTCTCGTTACAAACACTTACGTTTGTGGTACTACTATCTCCTATCTGTCATTTCTGTTAACTTGCATCTGGCCACCTTTCCCAGCTGTCTACACAGTCCCTATTAATAGCCTCAACAATGAACATTGCTTAAACCATCAAACTATACTGAGATCTCTTCCTGAAGAAAAGAAAAGGCACAATTAGTCATTCTTTTTTCTCTCCATTTTTTAACCAAAAGCTGCTGGCTTGTGTCCGGGTGACTGAAGGTCTCAGCAATGGTGTAAAGCTGGAGCTGTCTCTTTCTCTGGTGTTCCAGGGAGGGCTAGCTTCCTAATCAGACTCAAGAGAACAAAAAACACTAGAGGCTTTTCAGAAGTGACATTGTTCTCAACCTCATTGCCCCAGCACCAACCATTAACAATGGGACCTTTCTCCTCCCAGCCCAGTTAGGCAGCCTCCTTGGGTGGCCCAGGCACCCATTGCCTCTGCTGGAATAGAAGGCCTGGGGAGGTATGAAACATAAATTATTAAACAACTTTTCACAGCTTTCAAAACCATGCCATGATCGGAAGAAGCAGGCCTGGTTTTCCTTATTCAATCTCAGTCCTTTTGAGTGTTTGTCTTTTTTACACATGGCAAGGTTGCCTGCCTCCCTCAGTTCTAAAGGTCAAGTTGTCTGGTTACTTATCATCCTGTTAATCTTTCCAGCCCCATTCCATAAGACCAGATACCCTTTAATCAAGATAATTGAAGAGCAGACGGGCACTTGGCAAAGATTCTGACTCTGAGAATGAGCCACTTGGCACCAGGTTTACTATAGTTGTTTCAGATTAGGCTTGCCTTGGAGGCTCAGAAAGGAGGTGCTCTGGGGTTCATCTCAGCTCACTTCAGCAGCAGGCCCACTCTACCCCCATGTAGGGCAGAATGCTTCCATTACTGTGCTCCTTGAGGAAGATGCTTCCAGAAACCGCCCAGTAGCCTGGGGGACCTTCAGAGGGCTTTATCTGGTGATTTCAGGCTTAAGTGCAGTGATTGCCCGTCCTCAATCCACCTTCTTCACTTGATCTAGCTAAATGAGCACTCTAACTTGAGTCTAGGTATTTTGTGTCGGTTCAGAAAATCCAGCAAAGCCCGTTCTATAATCTTGTAAGAAGGATACCAAGAGACCTTTAGGCTCTAAGACTCGGCCTGTGGCATAAGAAATACAAACCAACAAGAGGTCCCAAGCCGCTTCTGTGACCGGAGCAAATAGGATCAAACCTGAGAGGCATAGGTGAGTACAATTCTTAATGACTCGGATCTGCAATGGCACAGACTTCTCTTACCTGAGAGGTGTGAACTGACTTATCTGGTGTTAATTAAAGACTAGAGGAAGTACCCTTGGCCCAGAAATATTCGGGAGGGGGGGAAATAGAGTCAGGAGGGGCAATTCCTATAGCATGACCGTAAAATGCAGTGGAGTTGGGGCTTTAGAGATGGTCTTGCTCTTCTTTGGTCATATTTTTTGTTTATGCTGATACTTTTCTGACATGATATGGCAGTCATTGGTCAAAATATCAGAAGCCTAATCAAGTCTCTAATACAACCAGCCCTCAATTGGTTATGTTGTATGAATCATTTGGGGCAGCTAAGTGGTACAGTGAATAGAGCAAGCTGGGCCTGAAGTCAGGAAGACTCATCTTCCCGAATTCAATAGCCTCAGACACTTACTAGCTGTGTGACCCTGGACAAGTCACATAACCCTGCTTGCCTCAGTTTCCTCATCTGTAAAATGAGCTGGAGAAGGAAATGACAAACCACTCTGGTACTGCCAAGAAAACCCCAAATGGGGCCACAAAGACGTGAGTGAGTGACTGAACAACATCAAAAATGAATCTTTTAAATTCAGACAATCTTGGTGCCTTTGTTTTAGGTTAACTTCTTCTAGCCCGTGGTTTGAAGCAGTGATAACAATAATTACTAATATTTATATAGTGCTATGTATCATCACTGTTGCTGAGCACTTTATAATTACTTTCTCATGTGGTCTTAACAATCCGGGGAGATAGGTGCTATTATTATCCCCATTTTATAGATGAGGAAACTGCCTTCCCAGAGTAAATAAGCAAACTGTCTAATGGTAACTTTTTTCTCCTTATGCTTCTTCTTTGGTGCTTACGCTATGTATGAAGAGTGTTAGGTTCTAATGTCAGAGCATCTGGATTCAAATTTGATGCTTACTACCTGTGAGACCTCGGACAAATCATTAACCTCCCAGGGCCTTGATTTCTTCATCAATGAATGAATGAATAAAAAGGCACTTATTAGGTGTTCCCTCTGACATTTTGCTAAACCCTAGGGATACAAAAAAAGTAACCGAGGCAGTTCCTACCCTCTAGGAACTTAGGTTCTAAAGGGAGGGGTGGGGTGGGAGATGTATTACAAAAGTTGGTGGGGCAGAATGGTGAATTTGGGGTATTTTGAAAAGAACTGGATCATGATGTGATGACCTGTTTCTGGGCAAGATAAAGTGAATATTCAACTGTCTGAACCTAGCACCTGAGGGCAGGAATCTGAATTCAAATGTGAGGGTTAGATTAGATTGCCTCTGAGGTCCTGGTGAGGAATCTGTGATTCCAGGAAGCCTGAGATCATGAGACTTCTTAACTGTGTGACCTTGGGCAAGTCAAATTGACCCTCTGAGTCTCAGGTTCCTCTTCTGTAAATTGAGACTAATAATACTTTCACTATCTAGTTTACATGATTATTGTGAAGAAAACATTTTTCTAAGTCTTAATGCACTACAGAAATATGTGTTGCTATTACTATAACTAAATATATACATACATACATACATACATACATACATATATATGTATATATATATATAGATATAGATATAGATATATATCTCAAGCTATGTGACCTTGGGTAAGTCATTTAATCCCTGGGCCTCAGTTTCCTCATTTGTAAAGTCTGGAAGACCTGATTATTATAAGCAAAGGAACTAAAGATCTCTTCATTACACTGGGGCAGGGTGGGCCTGCCTGCTTAGCTGAATTGAGCTCAGCCCCAGAGCAAATGATTTACATTTGTGACCTTGGATAAGTCACTTAATCCCTGGGCCTCAGTTTCTTTATCTGTAAAACCAGAGGGTTGGACTAGAAGATCACTAAGGTATTCCAGATCAACAATTTCATATCTTTAAGAGGTGAAAGGACTTTGAGCCAAAAGAAGTGAGACGAAGAAGATAAGGAGGAATAGTAGAAAGAATCACAAGCAGTGAAATGAACCTGACAACTATTCCGTTTTATTCAGGTTACAAAGGCCCAGATACTTAGATCATTTTTCAGGAGGTTTAAAAGCTTAATAATCAATAATCATTCATTAAGCACCTATTATGTGCCAGGCACTCTGGAGATACAAATACAAAAAAAAGAAAGTCCCTACCCATAAGGAGATTTACAATCTAATGGAGGAAGACAGTATTGGGGTTTGTCCTTTGTTCTCAAAGAGGACCATGACGTCAGGAAGATGATGACACGACTTGCAAGTGACTTTGATTTGAGTGAGGGAGGGCTGTGCACAGTCACCAGCCTCACTTTCTCCTCCAGAGCCATCTGGGTCCAGTGGCCAGATACAGATCAGGACAACTGGGGATGGCCCAGGATGAAATGGGAGACCTTGGCTTTTTTAAGGTCTTTTCCAGGTCTACAATTCTTCAGTCACTTCTTACCCCTGAATGAGAGAAAAACATATTTATTAGAGTATAAGCAGAATGAACAGAGATGGCGGGGCGGAAGGTTCTTGGTAGGAAATTGTCAATGTTTGCGATGTAAACTATGAGAGGTTAAAATCTGAGTGCTGAAATATGAGTTGTTACTGTGAATGGAAAAAAAATATTTTAGGGTAACCTGAGAGGAGATTTCAGTTTTAAAAAGTCAGTATGTATAAAGCTTTAGGGTGACTGATCTTGACAATTGGAAACAATATGGAAAGGGGTTCCATAACGTAACCTCAAAATAGGTCAAGGTATGTTTTAATGAGTCACTGAGTGGATTACTTCTTCTTCTTCTCTCTCTCTCTTTTTTTTTTTTTGCTAGGCAATGGGGTTAAGTGACTTACCCAGGGTCAGGAACAGCTAGCAAGTGTCAAGTGTCTGAGGTCGCATTTGAACTCAGGTCTTCCTGACTCTAGGGCAGATGCTTTATTCACTGTGCCACCTAGCTGCCTCAATTATTGGTTTTTGTACTGATGAAGTCAGAAATCGAGCCAAAAACTAATGGGTGACAGATAATCAAATGGTGCCTCTCCCAAGTACTGGCTGTGCCTAGGATCCTAGGAAATAATAGGCAGAGGAAAAACAGACAGAATGGAAGCTAGGGAAATGGAAAAGACTGCTTCTTGGAGAATCAGGAAAGCCCAGGCAGGGATACAACTCTACCTGACTTACTAGTAGAAATTGGGGGACCAGATGAGAGCTGTCATTTCCTCAGACCAGTCAATCAAGCACTTCCTATGTGTCAGGCACTGTGCTAAGCCCTGGGAATACAAAGACAGGCAGAAAAACAGTCCCTGCCCTCAAGGAGCTCATGATATAATGCAAGAAACTACATGCAGACAGCTATGTACGTACAAACTACATATATATAGGATAAATTGGAAAATAATAAATAAAAGGAAGGCATTGGAAATGAGAAAGAAGGTGATATGATTGGGCTTATACATCACTTTACTGGTTGATTTGGGATGGGAAGAGACTTGAGGCAGACAAATCCCCAGCAATCTTTGCAGTAAATCAAGGCCTGGGGTGATGAGAGAGTAGTAGCAGTGTCAGAGGAGGGAAGAGGGCATATTCTGGAGATAGTGCAAAGATGAAACCTACAGGGCCTTGGCAAGAGATTGGCTATGAGGGGGTGAGAGATTGTGATGAATCCAGGATGACTCCTAGGTTGTAGGCCTAAGGGAAGGGCAGGATGGTACCCTCTATAGTAAAAGAGAAGGTAGAAGTAGGAAGGTTTAGGGGGAAAGTAATGAGTCTTACTGAGTTTAAGATGTCTACTAGACATCCAGTTTAAGATGTCTGAAAAACAGTTGGAGATATGAGAATGAAGGTCAATAGAGAGACTAGGGCAGGAAAAGTAGATTTGAGAATGGTAATTAAAGATGGTAATTAAATCCTTGAGAGCTGATGAAATCACCAGATGAAGTAGTAGTAGTATAGGAGAAGAGATGAGGACCCAGGATAGAACCTGAGGGACACCTGGATTAGAAGTTGTGATCTGGGGGCAGCTAGGTGGTGCAGTGGATAGAGATGAGTTCAAATCCGGCCTCAGACCAAACATTTGACGCTTACTAGCTGGGTGATCCTGAGCAAGTCACTTAACCCCAGTTGCTTAAAAATTAAAAACAAAAAAAATAGAAGAAATTGTGATCCGAAGGAGGATCCAGCAAAGGAGACAGAAAAAGATCAATCAGGGAGGAAAAGAACCAAGACAGAATGGTGTTCTGAAAACCTATAGAGAAGAGAATATCAAGGAGGATGGCATAATCAAGTGTCAAAGGTTGTGGAGAGGTCAAGGAGAATGAAGACTGAGAAAAGGCCATTGGATTTGGCAACTAAGAGATCACTGGTAACTTTGGAGAGAGTAATTTTGTTAGAACAATGTCGGAAGCTAGATTGTAAAGGGTTAAGAAGAGAGTGAGAGGAGAAAAAGTGGAGACACTTATTGTAGACGGTCTTTTGAAGTTTAGATACAAAGGACAGAAGAGAAATGGAATATTAGTTAGCAGGGATGGAAAGATTAAGAGAGGTTTCTTTTTTTTGTTTTTAGGATAGGGGAGATGTGAGCAGGTTTGTAGGCAGTAGGAAATGAGCCAGTGGACAGTGAGAGATTGAAAATTAGTGAAAGAGTAGAGACGACAAAAGGGAAAGACTGTTGGAGGAGACAGAATAGAACAGGATCATTTGGACCAGAGGTATTCGTCTTGGTATAGAGCAAGGCCACTTCATCATGTAAGATGGGGGGAAGGAGGAGTGGCAGAAGGCACCTGAGTGATAGGAGATGAGAAGAGAAGACAAGAGGGAATTCATGATGAATGGCCTCAATGTTATTTGTAAAATATGAGGCAAGGTTCTCAGCTGAGAGAGTGGGGGGAGGGGGAGCCATGGGAGGTTTGTGGAGGGTGAGAAAGGTTTAAAAGAGCTGCTGTGGTGAGTGGGATAATGAATTAATAAGGGAGGATTGCCTAGCAGCAGTGAGGTCCCAGTTGACATTATGTAACATAAATTTG